TGACAAGGCACAAGTCTGGAGTGTGATGGAATACTCCTCACTTGCCCTGGATGGGTGCAGCCCCAACGACACTCAAAACGTTTAACAGCATCCAAAACAAAACAACCCGCTCAATGGGCATCACTCCATAAACATCCACTCCCTCCACCACCAATGCTTAGTAGCAGCAGTGTGTACTATCTACAAGACGCAGGGCTGAAATTCACCAAAGATCCTCAGACAGCACCTTCCAAACCCACGACCACTTCCATCCAGAAGGACGAGGGCAGCAGATACATGGGAACATCACCACCTTCAAGTTCCCCTCCAAGCCACTCACCATCCTCTCTTAGAAATATATCACTAACCTTCACTGTTGCTGGGTCAAAACCCTGGAACTCCGTCCTTAGTGGTGTTGTGGGTCAACTCATAGCACAAGGACTGCAGCAGTTCAAGAAGGCAGCTAACCACCACCTTCTCCAGGGCAACTAAGGATGGGCAAGAAATGCTAGCCCAGCCAGTGGTGTCCACAACCCATGAGTGAATAAAAATATTATAAATTTCTCGTGACACTATTCCTTTAGTATGAGCAATATCACCTTTCAAGGGCACTGTCAGATTTGGCTGTTAATGTCAACTTAAGTAAACAGTGACTCACAAAAACAAGCCTAAACCTTTTAACACCGCCTCCCCAGGTACCAGATGCATACACACATATGTGATATATGTGTATATAAAATACACAGTATTTTGAAAAACAGAATGGTATTAAGACTTTGTGCATAGCGCACAACTAAATAACATTTGTAACATGCTTGTGTTTGGTCCTGGAAATGATCATGTGTGACATTATTAAGTTCATGTCAAATTCCTGCCTAATTTAAGGGGTGTTAGTAAATTGAAAATGGATGAGTTGGTGTTTCATTTAAAACAGCAGAAGATAAAATTTGACGAGAATTCTTTAAAGTTTACATGACAATATCTCTCAAAATCATTCCCAGACTCTACTGTTATGATTTAGAACATTTCTTTGCCATCGCTAAGAAATTACTGTCCTTTAAGCAGCCCAGATTACATATTACATGTTATCATTTGAGCAGTGTATTTGCTTATTGTTCTGGCCATGACCGGATGGAAATCTGTTAAACAAAACGTGCAAAATGGTTAAAAAAAGCTTGCTATAGTTATTACATAAATAAAACTGGTATAGAATACAGAGAATAAAAGATGATTTTACAAAACTGCACTTACAGGACTGTGACCTGCTGGGAGCACATATCAGAAAATCACACACCGATCACTTCTTTTTTCATCCATATTACATTGTTTTTAAGACAACTCTGAAGCACAGTCGAGCAGTATTGTCTATAATGAACAAATTGCAGATTTCACAACAGTTAGCCAGAAATCCCAAACGAACACTAGGCTCGTCATTTTGTACACAAAAGCTCAGCTAGCTCTGCATTCATGATGCCTAACATGTCGCTGTACTTCAGTCACTGAGGGTTGTACTTTTACAGAAGGTTCACAAAAAGGCAAGGTCATGAAAGGAGAGCACATTCTATTGATGTGGCACAATATGCATTACAATAAAGAGTGAAGCCCGCCATTCTCATTCATGAGTGGAGTGCAATTTTACAATAGCACAACAGGGGGCAGGGGACTCTGTATACAGCTAATGACAGGTAACAGTTTTAAAGCATATTGCATGCTAAAAATTACAAGAGGTACATAAAATAATGTGCTTTTTGAACTATGTAAGATTTAGCAAAACTTCATTTTGCCATTTGCACATGAATTTGAGATGTACCATGTTATTTTTTGTCTTAAATGATTGAATGTCCTTAAGTGGGAAATGTGACATATTGCACTTATTACAATTTCGTGCATTTAACTGTGTTACCAGGAATTGGAAATAATAGCTGTGATTGTCAACCTGGTATATCACTAATATATTTACAAATATAGCTCATTTAAATATACATTAATGTTTCCTGAAGCAACACATTTGATTTTCAGAGATAGTAGGAACTGCCGATGCTGGAGAATCTGAGATAACAAGCATCAGAGGAGCAGGAAAGCTGACGTTTCGGATCTAGACCCTTCTTCAGATGGGTCTAGACCCGAAACGTCAGCTTTCCTGCTCCTCTGATGCTGCTTGGCCTGCTGTGTTCATCCAGCTCCACACCTTGTTAACTTACATTTGATTTTCACTTCCTATGCACTCTTCCAAACTTAAAGAACAGCAAATTCTTCTGTTAATAACCTTTGTTTACAATTAAACACTTGTTCATATAAAACGAAATTCCAGCTATTTTGCAATTTGTTATTAAACAACATCAGATCTATTCCACAGAGAAATTCAAGCTCTGCAGGTTAGGGAGTTAATTACCTTCATTTAAATACTATTGTGAGGCCAGAGAGAATTCATTTGCAGTTTACGAGATGTATCCAGCTTAAGATTCAGAAAGTGCAATGGTTTAGCTCATATATTTGACTAACATGGCCTGGTTGTGCAGTATGCTTGAGACAATAGCCTAACTTAACTAGTTTAGATTCAGAGACCTCTATTTGTAAACCACAGATACTGTAGATCTTCTCTCCCCTGTGGTTATGGACTTTTTTTTACCATTGTGCAATATAACTGCAGGGTTAATTATGGCCACTTGCCCTGATGCCTCATCCATCTTCCTTTTGCCAGGAATGGGTAAGTGGAAAAAATTTTAAGTGACTTCAAAGGCCATGACCATCCTTTGTTGAAATGTCAGGAGGTGTGTTTGATGCAAAATGAAATGGTAAAATAGTCTGCTTCCCCCAAGGCATTCTATATATTGTTCCAGACAAAAAAATGCAAATGTGGTCATTGAATGTGAATGTTGGCGCTAAGACTGGCTTCTGTATTTGTGACAACGTGCCGGAGGATGTAAAGATCTACGCAGGCATTAGAATCATTTTAGAGTTTATTGCTGCTCCAAATTGAAATTAAATACATTTTATTGAGAGATTACGGCACTATCATTATAAGTCTTTCCCTATCGTCTGCCCTATTCTGCTAAATGCAGGAGTTATACTGAAATCGTGGCCTGAACTTTCACGGAGTCAGAGACACTCTGGGAGGGGTGAAGTGTGTGGCATTCAGAGCCTGATTCTGTGGGACCCAACCCCCTACCCTGTACCCACCAATGTTTAGTAGGGGCCTTTAAGAGTGTGAACTAGTTCAGTTTGTAAGCCCATAGCCTGCACTCCTGACTTGACCAGCTCCACAGTGGTGATCAACATCCCTGGAATTTTCAAGGGGTTGGGCCAGCTTTTCCAAGCGTCATTGTTCATGGCATCTCAGAGGATTGTCTGGATGAGAGAACTTTTTGAAAGGCAAGGTCATAATGTTCTACATATCCGTCAAATTTCACCTCATTCCCTAGCCTCTGCACTCCTACCCCACCATGGTCTTTCATACCTTCCAAGCCAATTAATGTAGAAAAGCTGTTCAGCCACTGTATGTAGAACCAACAAACTCTACAGCAACAATAAAATGTATTTTAATAAGTTTTATAAAAAGTAATTCATTCACAACTTTCCACTTCTTTAAAAAACGTTTTGTTAATATAGCCCAATAAAGATATCAATCGCCCATACCCTTTGAAGTATCAAGACAGAAGTTGCTGAGCACTTGAAATCTCTTCATCTTGGGCAACTAAACATTGTGCAAATGACAGTGTAGGGTATAGGGCTGGATCTATCAATCAAGCAATGCTTTTCCTTCAGTTTAGCTGATTCAGTTGTTAATGGATGTCTGGACTTTCAACCAAACATGCATAATTTATAATCCATAAGATGACTGAAACAATCAAAGTAGTATGAGGAGCTTTGTGGATGGGCGGATAAATATAGCTCTGCATGGACAATAGACCATAAGATATTCGTGCAATCGTAGGGCTTCATAGAATCATAGAATCCCTACAGTGTGGAAAGAGGCCATTCAGTCCATTGAATCTTCTGGAGTACTGTGTGCAGTTCTGGTCACCGTGTTATAGGCAGAATACTATTAAACTGGAGAGGGTTCGGAAAAGATTTACCAGGATGTTGATGGGAATGGAGGGTTTGAGATAAAGAAAATAGACTGGAAAGGCTGGGACTTTTTTTCACTAGAGAGTAGGAGATTCAGGGGTGACCTTATTGAGGTTAATGAAATCATGAGGGGCATAGATAAGGTGAATGACAATGGATTTTCCCTAGGGTGGGGGAGTTCAAAATTAGGGAGCATATTTTTAAGGTGAGAGGAGAAAGATTTAAAAATCATGCAAGGGCAACATTTTTATAGAGAGTAGTTTGTGTATGGAATGAACTGCCAGAGAAAGTTGTGAATGCAGGTACAGTTACAATGTTTAGAAGACATTTGGATAAGTTCATGAATAAGAAAAGTTTGGAGGGGTATGGGCCAAACACAGGCAGGTAGCACTAGTTTTGTTTGGAAACATGGTCGGTGTGGACTAGTTGGATCTGTGCTGTATAACTCTATGACTCTACGCCTAATCCTAACCTGCACATCTTTGGAGTGTGGGAGGAAACCCACGCAGACATGGGGAGAATGTACAAACTCCAGCCCATCAAGTCTGCTCCACCATTCAATGAGATTATGGCTGATTTGAAAATCCTCAACTCCACTTTCCTGCCTTTTCCCTATAACCTTCGATTCCCTCACTGATTAAAAATCTGTCTATGTCAATCTTAAATAAACTTTATCCAGCCATGACAGCCCGCTGTGGTAAATAGTTCCATGGATTCACTTCCCACTGAGAGAAGAAATTCCTCCACAGCTCTGCCTTAAATGTTTGACCCCTTACTCTGAGATTATGCCCTTTATTCCTACAAGGGGAAACAGCTTCTCCACATCTATGTGCCGAGATTAGTTGTTTCAAAATTAATAAATCTGACCTTCAATATTACATGATTAACACGGGCAACTGGACATTAATTTCATCTAAATATATTGATAAGATATTTTTTTTAAAATTATACAGGTAATTTATGTTCTCCAGACATCGGCCAGTGCTCATCACAACCATGCAAGAATGGTGGAATTTGTGTTGAAGGACTAAATGACTACATCTGTCAGTGTCAACAGTATCCTGTGATGTACACAGGGAAGAATTGTGAAATACAGTTTGATGCCTGTTATTTTAACATATGCATGAATAACAGCACCTGTCAGAGTACACCAGGAAGCCTGCAGTACAACTGCACCTGCTTACCTGGGTTTGGAGGTACTCAGTGCAACATTAACATAAATGAATGTGAGAGCAATCCTTGCCAAGGAGTTCATGTTGACTGCATAGATAGAGTGAATGGATACAATTGCCTGTGTTCTCCAGGATACGAAGGGGAAAACTGCACAACAGAAACCAATGAGTGCCTTACAAACTCCTGTAAGAACAATGGAACCTGCTTGGATGGAATTGGGAATTATACCTGTGATTGTCAACCTGGTTACACAGGGATTAACTGTGAAACCGATATTGACGACTGTGCATCAAATCCTTGTTTAAATGGAGCTCTGTGCCTTGAAGGGAGAAATGAATATAAATGCTTCTGTGTCCCTGGATATCAAGGGCCAAACTGTGAAATTGACATCAACGAATGTGCATCCAGACCATGCAGAAATGGGGCCACATGCATCCATGACGTGGATCGATACTTATGTGTCTGTCCTCCTGGCTACAAAGGTAATTTCTTCTGTAAGATGTAAAAAAATTAAATGTACCAGTTATACTGCAATTTAGCTATGCTTCTTACAGAAACATTTTGCAGAATAGTTATGTCAAAACTGTATACATTAATCCCAGTTGGAATAATACTTTGGCAACTTGTGTTTGTCTCCAACGTTAATATTTACTTTGGAGAAATAGAGATGTGGGTCCAATCTGATCTTTAGTATCTTGTAATTAATGGTTCTAGATCTAGGATTCAGTAATTACTATCCCTTTATGTTTAAGAAACGACTACCAAAATATTCATTACCACATTGAAGTACCCTTGAGAGAATCTTTTGTTCAGAACATTTTGTTCAATAATACTGGCCCAAAGGTGTTAAAAAAATGTCTCCCTAGTTTAAAATCATCCTTATTCATTACACATACACATAACCACCAAAAAACATTACAAAGCCAACTGAAATCATTCTCATAATTTTTGTCATGATAGTCTGTAGCTAACTAGTAACAGCTGACAATATGTAACTCGCCAATTTCTCTACATGGGCACCTTATCTCTTGTCCCTGTTATGCTTAGAAATCACATTAATATCAGCAGTTTCCAGAAAGGGAAATCACAAGTATAAATGACAGCCTAAACTTGGAATACGCAGGAAAATTAAATGAAAGCTCAAATAGCATGCTTTGCAAAGCTAAGCAACCAACAGATAAGGTCAACCCTCTGCCACAGCTAGTCATAAATGACGGTGGACAATAAAATAACTAAAGGGAGGAGGCAGCTCCATAACTATCCTCATTGGCAACAATGGTAGAGACTAGCATGTCAGCACAACTGACAAAGCTGAAGTGTTTGCAACTCTCTTCAGGAAGGGCTGCCAAGGGGAGATCTCCAGCATCATAGATCTCTGTCTTCAGACAGTGCAATTAATTCCATGTGACATCCAGGAGCAGCTGAAAATACTGAAGACAGAAAATGCTATTTGGGCCCTGACAATATCCCAGCTGTAACACTAAAGACAGAACCAGGCGAGTTTCTTCAGGACCACAATAATAGCTACCTAACAAAATGGAAAATTGCCCAGTTTGCTTGTGATCGCAAAGTGCAGGAGAAATCCAAATTGATCATTTACTGACCCACTGATCCAGCCATTCACAATCATCAGTAAAGTGAAGGTGCCCTCAACAGTGCTCTCAAGTGGCACTTACCCAGTAATATCCTACTCACTAATGCTCAGGTTAGGGTTCAGTCAGTACCACCGAGCTCCACACTTCATTGTAGCCCTGTTTCAAATGTGGACAAAAGAGCTGAATTCCAGAGGTGAGGTGAGAATGACTGCCCTTGAAATTAAGGCAGCTTATTTGACTGCATGTGGCATCGAGGAATTCCAGTAAAACTATTGTTGGTGGAAATCATGGAAATATTTTCTACTCCCTAGTCAAAGGGAAACAGATTGCAATTGTTGGAAGACATTTATTTCAGCCAAGGATACTGCTGCAGGACTTCTTCAGGATATTGTCCTGGACCTATCCATTTCCAGTTGAATGATGTCCTCCCCATCATCAGGTCAGAGGTGGTGAGGTTGAATGGTGATTACACAATGTTCAGTTCCACTCACAATGCATAGATCATGAAACAGCCCGTACCAAAAAGCAGCAACTGGAGAACATTCAAGCCTAACAAGTAACATTCAACACACAAGTCCCGGACAATGATCATCACCAATAAGAGAGAATCTAACCATCCAATCTAGACAAACAACAAGATTACCATCACTGAATTTTCACTATTAGCATACCTCAACCAGAAACCTAACTGGATCCAAGCCAAATAATTATTGTAGCTACAGGTACAGAGCAGTGGCTGGGAATTTTGCAGTGAGTAACTCACCTCCCGTTTCACCGAAGCCTGTCCACTATCTACAAGGCCCAAATAAGCAGTGTAATGGGATACACCCCATTTTTGGATGCATGCAGCTCCAACAAAACTCATGATGCTTAACGTCATCCCAAATAAAACAAGTTGTCTGATTGGCAGATACCCTCAAATGAGCTCTTGTTCCATATCACTGTCAGCTGTGTGTACCATCTACAAGATGCACTAACCACTGATCAATGTTCCTTTTACAGCATCTTCCAAACTCTCAATTTGAAGAATTATGCAGCAGGTTTGTGGGAATGCCATCACTTGCAAGTTCTTGTACAAGTCTCTCACCATCCTTATGTGGAAATATATATGGGTTCCTTCACTGCTGGGTCAATACCCTGGAATTCCAGCCCTAACAGCACAGTAGGTGTACATGACCTTTGGGCCTTCAGTGGTATAACAAGACAGCTCACCACCGCCTTCTTAAGTATAATTGGGGATGTGCAATAAATACAGGCCTGGCCAGCAGCACCTACACTACACTGCTGAGCGAAAATCACTGAGCTGATTATTTTATAACAATCCCGGGGCAAAGACAACATTCTGGGACTCTGCTTTGTTTATTTCATAGCTGATAGTCCACATAATAGAATCCCTACAGTATGGAAACAGACCCTTCGGCCCAACAAGCCCACAGCGAACTTCACAGCTTCCCACCAAGACCCATCCCCCTACAACCCACCCAAGCTACATATCCCTGAACACTACAGACAATTTAGCATGGCCAATCCACCTAGCCTGCACATTTTTGGACTGTGGGAGGAAACCGGAGCACCCAGAGGAAACCCACGCAGACATGGGGAGAATGTGCAAACTCCACACAGACAGCCGCCTGAGGGTGGTATTGAACCAGGGTCCCTGGTGCTGTGAGGCAGCAGTGCTAACCACTGTGCCACCATGCCACCCCCATATTTACTTTTCACAATTATGATTGCAAGGTGAAACTGCAATCACTTTGCTCCACCAACCATTAAAGAAATGTGACAAAATACATCCACTGACAGCCTATTTTCCATTTCCTCCTCCCAGAAAAGTTTTCTCAGTGCTGCGTTTACAAACCTATAAAAAGGAGACCTTTGAATGAGACAAAGTTTCAAGTTAGCCACTAAATATTAATTCATTCTCGCAACGTATGGTGCCCATATGTTTGAAAAACTAATGTTTTCCTGAATCAGTCTTGTACAATTTGATTGTTGAGTGACAATGGTACCAGAAGCTAGGGATTGTAACAGCTTTCAGAAAACTCAGGAGCACACTTTGGCTCATAAACACAATCCCACCAATTTACAGTGAGTTGATTCATTCATTCCAACTAAATGTGAATGAAACAGTTAAAAGAAAATACAGAAACAACAGAATCATTGAATTCTACGGCTCAGAAAGACCATTCAGATCAAGTAGTTCACTTTAATCTCTTTTTCCTGCTTTCTGTAATTGTCCTTTTAGAGAAGTATCCAATTCCCCTTTAAATCATGTTCAAGTGTCTAACACAACTACCCCTTGTGATAGAGCATTTCTGTTCTTAATTACCCTCTGTGTGCCTAGCTTCCCCTTTTGTTCTTCTAGTATAATCATGAATTTATGCTCCCTACTCTCTTATTCACAAACTATGATGTGGAGGTGCTAAGGTGGACAAATTAGCACAACACTAGGTTATAGTCCCACAGGTTTATTTGAAAACACAAGCTTTCAGAGCCTCTCTCCTAACACCTGAAGGCTAATGCCTGAAGAAGGAGATTTCTGACCTTATTCACAAAATGGTGGAAAGAATCTTTCACTAATTATTTTCTCAAAAGTCTTCATTTTATTCAAACAAAATCAAAATTCCATAACATGAAATTAAGTACATTGTGGAGGGACCAGTAGAAAAACAGTCTAAGTAACTCCAGAGATAACAAGATGTAGAGCTGGATGAACACAGCAGGCCAAGGAGCATCAGAGGAGCAGGAAAGCTGACGTTTCGGGTCTGGACCCTTCTTCAGAAATGGGGGAGGGGAAGGGGATTCTGAAATAAATAGAGAGAGAGGGGGAGGTGGATGGAAGATGGATAAAGGAGCAGATAGGTGGAGAGGAGATGGACAGGTCAAGGAGGCGGGGATGGAGCCAGCAAAGGTGAGTGTAGGTGGGGAGTTAGGATGGGGGTTGGTCAGTCCAGGAAAGATGGACAGGTCAGGGAGGCGGGGATGAGGCTGGTAGGTAGGAGGTGGAGGTGGGGGTTGAGGTGGGAGGAGTGGATGGGTGGGAGAAAGGTCAGACAGGTTAGGGAGACGGGGACGAGCTGGGCTGGTTTTGGGTGCGATCGGGAACGGGGAGATTTTGAAGCTTGTGAAGTCAACATTGATACCATTGGGCTGCAGGGTTCCCAAGCAAAATATGAGGTGCTGTTCCTGCAACCTTTGGGTGACATCGTTGTGACACTGGAGGAGGCCCAGGATGGACATGTCGTCCAAGGAGTGGGAGGGGGAGTTGAAGTGGTTTGCGACTGGGAGGTGCAGTCATTTGTCATAAGGTCAGGCCCAGAGATGTACAAAGTTCAGGTAAGTGCAACGGTACACAACAAGCATGTGGACCGCATGAAAGCTGCAAACTCACAAATGGTGCAGGAGCAAAACATGCCTGGCTCCTCGACTGCCTTTCTGACTATTCTGGAACCCATGGGTTCCCCGTCTGTGTCAAGCATTGATGATACCATGGAAGGTGAGATGGGCACAGTGGAAGTCACTGTGACAACACCTTTGCCACCCGAAGAGGAAAATGAATTTCTTCCGAAATGCTTTGGGCACAAGATGCGCACTACTTTGTGTTACATGCCACCTCGATCAGAGGCAGAGTTGGAGGAACCTGACCCAGTGCTAAAAAACCCCAGGTGGAGTTACAACAAAAAGAACCAGCCTACATCCTTGGACTCAGAGGGGGACAGATGTAATCATTATAATGAGGCCAACCAGGTGGACCTCATAGAATATGAGTTCCCTGATTGGGGCTGTTAATCTGGTTCCAATCAGGGAGTCTTGTCTCACAGATAAGAACAGGAGTATCAGAGATTCTGTTCACTCTGACAGCTGGCTTTGAGGAAGTTGTCAAGGAC